ATTTCAGCCATTATTAATTTTTGTCTCGGATTTACTTTCATCTTCATTTTTTATTAGATGAACATATTTCACCCATTATTATTAATTTTTGACTAGGATTTACTTTCATCTTTAATTTTTATTAGATGAAGCATTTTCAGCCATTATTAATTTTTTTTATGTGTAGATTATCGAACTATCACATGTACATATTTGCAATATATTTCACTGTAAACAATTGGAATACGGAGGAAATGTAAGTGAGTCGATTCCTTGGTCGTTGTATGAAAATATTAAATGTAAATAGTGAAGTTTTATATGGGAATTTGAGGGATCTGGTAGGCTAATATTTACCCAGATTCCATAGACTACCAATACTTATCCGTACCCTCACTTCGTAATACTAGAATATTAAATATAAATAGGCGATATTTATATTCCATTCTTTCGTGGCATGTTATCTCTAAATTGCATGCCCAATTGTATTTCCTCTCAGGAAAATTGGCGAATCTGTTTTGTTACTCAATCTTTTGTTACTCACCCTAAACATTACAAGATGCGCTCTGTTAATGATATTCTCCTCATCAAGTTAACATCCGTTTTGATGAACTTATCCTTTCACAGAAAAATGGCTTCAAACGTTGCATCATATTTGGTCTTTGAACACGGTTTTGCTGACATCTTACAGTACTGATTAATTATTTCCTTGTTAAAATGTAAAACAGACTTCGCGAAAAAAGCATTATCATCTTTTTTCTTGCTTTCTACTTTTTAAAACACAGTTTTGGTTGAGACGGAATCAGCCAACGGCCAAACTAACCAAAAACAAAGCAGACGATATTGCAATAGAGATGCTGACAGACTTAGTTGATTTCAGTATTGAGAAAATCACAGACATAATAAATGAAATCTACAGCATTGGTGATATATGCAAAGACCTAAGTAGATCCATTTTTATAACACTGCATAAGAAGCCACATGCAAACGAATGTGGGCCCCATCGGAGAATCAGCCTAATGTGCCATATAACAAAACTTATCATCCAAATTCTGATGAATAGGTCGCTCAGCAGTATTGGAGCCAAAATAGGACACAAACAGTGAGGGTTTGTTAAAAACACTGGAACAAGGAAGGCAATAATTATGCTGAAAATGATTTCAGAAAGAGCAATACAATATTCAGAAGTATGTATTCATATGTTTTATAGATAATGCAATAGCACAAAGACTCTAACCTTTCGTAATTTTAGGGGTCAATTTATATGCAGGTAATAATTCCACTTCATCTCTATACTTATAACGTCTCTGCCTAAAACTCTGAACTTTTATTTACTATTGATTTATTTGTGTTTTTCATCAATAGGAGTGGATGATTTTGCACATCGCCGGTTTACATTCCTCCTAGGTCTTTTGAACAAGAATAGAAGCTTATCCCTTGTTTTCTTGTGTAGGATATCATCATCATCATCTGCCAAAACATTGAAATAACAGCAACAAAGGTGAGGACAATAGTCTGCATGTAAATAATAACTCCTCATCCCAGAATTCCAGACGTCCACCTGATGAAAATCGGAGAGCCGAACGACCGAAAAATTGTGATAATAACAACAAAGATCAGGACAATAGTCCGCATTTAAATAATCTAAATAAGTAGATCCCATTCCGACAATCACTTAAAAGTCCTTGAGACAATTTATATTAAATCAAGAGAGTCTTTTTTCTGTCAATAAACCGAATGAATGATGAGTTTCAGTGTGATTTATTTAAAAATATACCTGTGTCTGCTGCTAGGGAAGCTTGCCATATTTACTAAGGATATCAGAATAATCCAGAACCTACACTGATAGCAATCCGTCTACGTACGGATAGAAAATAACTTCAACAGATATCCAAAAATAGAAAGATGTGTAAGACAAGGATGGGTCGTCTCACCAGATATATTCAATGGAAACAGTGATGCCATTCTAAAAGAATTAGAGTTCCTATTATTGGCAGCTACAATCTTAGCAACATAAGATATGCAGATGACACTCATGATAGCAGATACCGAAAGGAAACTACCAGAACTCCTATAGAAAGTAGTGAAGGAAAGCGAGAAGAAAGGACTAAACATCAATTTCAATAAGACAGAATGAATGGTTGTTAGACAAAGTGATTTCTCAAAATGAAAATTACAAAGGGGAGATTGAAGATATCTAAGATATTTAACAAAGATGAAGACAATAGTCTGCATGTAAATAATGATAACTCTTCATTCCAGAGATTCAGACATTCACCTGATGAAGGTCGGAGAGCACAACGACTGAAACATTGTGATAATAAGAATAAAGATGGGGACAATAGTCTTTGTGACAATTTATAATAAATCAAGAGAGCCTTCTTTCTGTCAGTAAACCGAATGGATGTTAGGTGTCAGTGCAATTTGTTTCAAAATATAACCCTAACTCTAACCTTAACCCTAACCTTAACACTAACCATAACCCTAACCATAACCCTGTCAAGTGATGTTAAGGTTGGCATATTTAGGAAGAAGGGTATTAGAATAATGAAGAACCTATACTGGCATCAAACTGCCTGTGTATAGATTGAAAATGAATTCAGTAAATATATCCCAAAAAATAGAAAGGGGGTGTAAGACACGGATATAACCTATATAATAAACAATTCTAAGAGAATTACAACTCCTATTATGGTTCATTATTGGCAGCCACAATCTTAACAACATAAGATATGCAGATGACATAGTGATGATAGCAGTCACAGAAAGAAGACTACAAGAACTTCTAGAAGAAGATGCCGAAAGAGAGGAGAACAAAGAACTAAACCTCAATTGCAAAAAAAGACAGAATGCATGGTTGTTAGCAAAAGGAACAGCCCAATATGCAAATTACAAATATAAAAATCAAACAAGTAAAACAATTTAAATATCTGGAAAATGTTTTAATAGAGGAAGGAAAGTGTGACACCGAAATCTCAAGATGTATTGGGATAGTGAAAGATGCCTTCCAAAAGCTAAGCAAAGTATTAAGAAACAGAAAAATTGTTAGAAACAAAAGAAAAACTGAACTGTCATGTAATATCAGTCCTTCCATATGGCAGTGAAAACTTGACAGTCTCCTCACAGATAAAGAAGAGACTTGATGCATCTGAAATATGGTTCTACAGAAGGATGCTGAGAATACCATGGACCGAACATGTGACCAGCGATAATGATTTAGAGAAAATGAAAACAAAAAGGAGACTTATACTTAACATCAGAAAGAGATAGCAACAATTTTTAGGTTACATGATGAGGAAAGAAGGCTTAGGAAGTATGATACCTACAGGACAGTTTGAAGGCAAGAGGGGCATCGGAAAACTAGGCATAATCTCTGACTATCGAGCTTGTGTAAATGCATGGAGGAGGAGGTCTTTGGAGGGATAAGAAGACAAAATTTATTAAGAGCTACAAAGAACAGGAAATTGTGGAGAGCTATGATCGTTCACGTCTGGAAGTAACATGGCACATAAAAGAAGAAATATCAACCATTGAAAAGGAAATTTGACAACAGGGTTGCAAAAATTATAAATATTTTCATTAACGACTTACCTGGTGTCATCAGATCTCAGCTCGTTTCCTATGCTGATGATACAACCATTTACTCCTGTCTAAATCTGATCGCTTCAATAAGGTCAAATTGGAAGATGGTCTAAAAAATAACCTATAATCTGTTGCTGACTGGGGAAAGAAATGACGTGTTCATTTTAACGCCTCCTAAACAAAATTTCTTTCTGTTAATCTTCTTAGAGACCCATTTTTACCTTCCATCAGTATGGTTAGTGTTGACCTCCAGAAGAGGGACCCATCACGCCTTCTCGAACTAACATTCTCGGCTGACATGAAGTGGAAGGATTATATAGAATGAATTGCTCGGTCTGCTGCTAAGAAAATTGATTCCCTGTGTCGGGAGAGACAATTTTTATCTCTAATATTTGCTTTGCCTATTTATAAGTCCATCATTCGCCCTTGCTTTGAATATTATTGCCACATACGGTCTAATTGTATATATTTAGAGATTGTTGATAAAATCCAAAGAAGGATCTGCAATTTTATTGGTCCTGAACTGGCATCTCGGTTTCAGTCACACTTCAACTGCTTCAATGTAGCCAATGTATGCCTTTTCTATAAATATTTTCATGCTAATTGTTTCGATTAACTTCCCTCTGTGGTACGTAGAAGTTGTGAATCTAAGCGCAGTACTAGATTAGCAGCTAGGTCTCATCCTTTCATAGTTGAAATGGCTATATGCAACCGTAGGTCCTATGCTAACAGTTTCTTCTATCGCACTTCTCGCTTGTGGAACTTTCTTCCAGCTTCTTGTTTCCCATTCAACTTTGATCTTCAAAAATCTAAATGCAAAACCAATAGTTATCTACTGTCTTTTTAATTCCTGCTATTTTATTTCTGCTTTCCTTAATAATGACTTTTTTTCTTTTTCTTATTCTTTCACACTTCTTGGGTCTTAGTGGCTTTATTGCCTTGCTTGGGGTGAAATGATTAAAAAGCAAAAAAAAAGATACACGTGTTCAGGTCAAACGGAATGCTCGAGAACTTTTCTGTTTACACCTGCCCAGGTGGGTCGAAGTCATTAATTCTATTTTTACCTTCAGTAAAAAACCCGAGTGAGGCTTTATGGTAAATGTCAAGTCAGGTGTTCGCGGCCATTGCTCAGAAAAAAAAATTACCGTCCGGAGAAAGAAACTGAAAAGAAAATGATCTAAAAATGACAGCAAATAATAAGTATTTTTTTCCCCTAATGATCGTCGAGAAGAAGGAAGATATCGTAAAGGTAAGAAAAAGCAAGCAATTTACTTACTGCAGGTAGATATTTCATTTATTTCTTATCCTTTTTGTTTGTTTCGTTAACAAGAAAGATTGCATATTTTAAGCGGAAAATCTGGCTGAGGCTGCCACATTTGCTGCGTTTCGCTAGAAAGACTTGATTTATGAATGGCATATAAAAGTAAACGCCTGCCTGAAACATGCCTCTTGTTAGAACTCTGCCCGACCAAGCCGGTGGGGGGGGGCATTCGAGACAACCAGATTCATCTATCTATCTATCTATCTATCCCAGACTGTTCATATCTATCTATCTATCTATCTATCCAGACTGTATCTATCTATCTATCTATCTATCTATCTATCTATCTATCTATCTATCTCAGACTGTATCATATCTATCTATCTATCTATCTATCTATCTATCTATCTATCTATCTATCTCAGACTGTTCATATCATATCTATCTATCTATCTATCTATCTATCTATCTATCTATCTATCTATCTATCTATCTATCTCAGTCTGTTCATATCTATCTATCTATCTCATCTATCTGTTCTATCTATCTATCTCATCTATCTATCTATCTATCTATCATATCTATCTATCTATCTATCTGTTCTGTCTGTCTGTCTGTCTGTCTGTCTGTCTGTCTGTCTGTCTGTCTCTCTCTCTCTCTCTCTATATATATATATATATATATATATATATATATATATTGGCCGCCTACCCAAGATCCAAGCCTTGTCGGTGAAATGTAGATAAAATATTTGGGGTCCGGCGATAGCACAATGTTACAAGTCATCGTGACCGAGGTTTTGAGTATGCTGGCGTTGTTCAAATTGATCATGCTAGATAACCCACTCTCTCACAGAAGCTGTAAGTAAGGTCTGCTTAGCATAGTTGCTGTATAAACCACAGGTTGACACTGTAGGTGTTGAGCAAACACAAATATGCCTGAGTGAGCGTCTGCAATAGGGATTGGCTAGCCGCCCTCGTAGACAGACATCCTCGAATATGAGTGGCCAGCTATACTATTTATAGAGTAATATACTGATAAAAGAAATAGAAGGATAATTAAGACCATATGTAATGAATAAATTTTATTTATTTCAGACAAAAATGTTTTCGTACGGCGTCTGTCTCTCTGTAGTTCAATACTGTCCCTTACTCGCCAGTGGGATAAGACAGTTTCCAAAGAGTCCTGCAACGAAAAACTAGACACAGTAGGTATTTTTTTAAGGCAATTCTACCCAATCAAGGCGGGAGTGTCACTAGCACGCAAGGGGTTACAGAGGATTGAGTAAAGAGGCGTGTTTGAGGAAAACGATACAGAGAAAGTCAGGGAACAAGCTCAGGGTGCCAGATGTCGATTGACATTACACTTGAATATTTGAAGATTATAGTCATTGGGGAAGCAAGTAAGGGGAAGTGAGTTCCACAGACGGGAAGTGCGGGAGAAGAAGCTATTTTGAGAAGAAGAGACGGTTACATTTAATCATTTTGACAGTGAAAGGGTGGGGACTGAGATGCCAGGCTAGTAGCACGCTTAAATTCATGTAGTCTGGGAACCAGCGAAAGTAGCGCGTCGGAACAGTTGCTATGAAAATACTTGTAGAAGAGACAGAGCACGTCTGTGGGATAGTGATTGTAGACTGGATGCTAGATGAGGACCTATAATCTTGCATAATCGTCTCTGGATTTTGTCAAGGACCTTGAGACGTACAGCAGGAGGACCAGACCATATATGACAGCAATATTCCATGCAAGGACATATGGTTGATTTATAGATTTGAAAGATGGACTCGGATGAGAAAAACTTTCTAGCACGACGCAGACAGCCAACTTTCCTTGCAGTAGATGAAGCTATTGATTCAATGTATTTATTCCACCTCATGTCAGAGGACAGCGTGAGACCAAGCAGGCGTAACGAGGCGCTCTCAAGGAGTATTTTGTTGTATTTAGTGTTTTCATTAGTTTATGCTCATCACTTTCGCTATAAAATTGAACTAACTTGTCTTTCTGTTTCTTTTTACACAGTGGTTGTTCCTTAACCAAATTCCTCAGTAAGACGCCGCACAGGGACATCGCGATCAAGCTTCTGCAAAAGCTCTATTTCTTGTGTTCTTGGTAACGAGAGATGCTTTCTTTTCCTTTTCTTCATTTTGTTATCTATCAAGTTATCTGCAGTTCTTTTTGACATTTTCATTGTAAAAAATCACAAAAATTACGAAAAGAAAAAAAAATCAGAGAACAACGCACACACGTCTTTCCAATACGAACCCTTGACAACAACTGATGTTTAGCGGGCTCAGATCAGACGTGGGGAGTAGTGGGCGGGGTCAGACCGATCACGACACCTGTTGCCACATCACGTCTAAGTGGCCTGCATCAAGTAGGCAAGCTTTTTGCATGCAAAACTCCACACTAAAAATATTCGGTTTCCACAGGTTTTCTGGTTTCAGAAGTTCGGATATTTGCTTGTCAATCTGTATATCGTAATTTGGTAGAGTTTATTTTATTACTTAATAACAATAGTTAACTAATCCCCGATTTTATGTCCAATAGAATCTTACGAGTTTACCAATATCTGTCTATATTTCCAAGATGAGGTATTGTAACTATTTACACTATATACATTGGTCAGACTCTTGTCCTCATCTTTAGTGTCATATTCATGACGTTTCGGCCGTTGTACGCCCGGCCTTCTTCAAGAGATACAGGTTGGAATTTTGAATCGAACCCTTTGTTTAGTCCACGGGGATAGATTATTCTACTTCCACGTGCCATGCCTTTTTTGGATATCCTAGTTACAGTTAATTCCTTGTAGTCATTCAACTCTCCAAATTTTGTTCACCTCTGCTGTGGTCAGGTATTGAACTCACAACTCTTTGGATCAAATCACTGGATTACTTCAACCAACGCTGGACCATGTGATCCTGGCGAAGGCTGGTGCGTACAGCGGCCAAAACATCGTGAATATAACAATAAAGATGATGACAACAGTCCGAAAAGTGTAAATAGTTAAAATACCTGATCTTAGAAATATAGACAGATCCTGAAGAAGGCCGGAGCGCACAACGACTGAAACGTTGTGAATATGACAATAAAGATAAGGACAATAGTCCGAACAATGTAAATAATGTTAATAGTTGCGATGCCTCATCTCAGAAATATAGAGAAACCCTGTAGAAGACCGGAACGTACAACGGTTGAAACGTCGGGAATATGACAAAAAAGATGAGGATAACAGTCCCAACAACATAAATATTGTAAATAGTTAACCAATATTTACATTATTTAGATTATTCAAACTGTTATCCTAATCTTCATTGTTCATATTTACAATGTTTCGGCTGTTGTATGCTCCGGCCTTCTACATGTGATTAGAATTTCGAACCGAACCCATTATTTCGTCCACCAGGCTAGATTGTTCTAGTTCCATGTGTCATGCCTCTCCCGGATGTCTCAGTTATTTCCCTTTGAGTTAATTCTTCAAGTTTAGTTCATCACTGTTGTGTTATTGAACTCACAACTCTTTGGGTCTTGTCACTGGATCTAAGCAACGTCTTAATACATTGGGCTATGTGTCCTTTAGGCCGGAGCGTACAACGGCCGAAACGTTGTGAATATAGCAATGACGATGAGGATAACAGTCTGAATATTGTAAATAATGTATGTAATCATAATACCTCATCTCAGTGATATAGCGGCTGAAACGTTGTGAATATGGCAATGAAGATGAGGATAACAGTCCGAATAATGTAAATAATGCAAGTAATCATAATTCCTCATCCTAGAGATATAGGCAGATATATAGAGAGACATAGAAATAAAGGTCGGAGTGTACAACGGCTGACACATTGTGTATATGGCAATGAAAATGAGGATAACAGTACGAATATTGTAAATAATGTATGTAATCATAATACCTCATCTCAGTGATATAGTGGCTGAAACGTTGTGAATATAGCAATGAAGATGAGGATAACAGTTCGAATAATGTAAATAATGTATGTAATCATAATACCTCATCTCAGTGATATAGTGGCTGAAACGTTGTGAATATGGCAATGAAGATGAGGATAACAGTCCGAATAATGTAAATAATGTATGTAATCATAATACCCCATCTCAGAGATATGGACAGAAATTACCAATAGTTTAAAAAACTAAGCTATACTTTGTTCAGTCTGAATTCGTACTAGAACATTGTCATTTGGGTATGCTTAAATTAAAGCCATCCACTGGGTGATTGTTTTCTAAAAGAATTACTAATATAGTTTTTTTCTGAAGATTGCACAATTACGCAACCCCAAACATTTTGGCCTTGAAAAATGTCCTATCTAAGACTTCCATAAATTGGTGACACTGGCAGGATTTTTGCTAAGTACATCTTGGCCAGTAACATCTTCGCAAAATGTTTTCTTTTTCTGTTAATCCACGAGAAATGTTCTCATCCTGGGATATATTAAAATCTCATTGCAAGGACAATCTATCTCTCTTCAAAACAAATTCTGCTGATTATTCTCTAGACTATCAGTGCTATGTTGACTTTACAAGCAGGACATCTCGACGTTTGGAGAGAAGAATTTTCCAGCATTTTTCAGATGATGCCAGATAAGTGATAATTTGCATAAGCCTCTTGCATTTGTATTTGCAATTGTAGAGCACCTGATTAATAATACTATACTGGGTATGACGATAAACTGCATCTGGCAGCAAGACCTCCAATCGGGATGTTTTGAGGAGCGTGAAATCAATTCTTAATTGTTGTTGTTCCCTGATCCACCCTAACCCGGGGTGGCAGTAGTTGTTAGGGTCTCAACTACAGTCAAATAGTTAACCCTCAAACTGGGGTTAATATATAAGTATAAAAATTCATTTTTATAGTAACACTGACAGCAACATATTTTCATAAAAAAAAATTAATTGCAATATGTTCTGAAGAAAATCCAGTTTTGATATTTAATGATCCATAAGGAGATTATATGCCGCTAAAGAAACAGACAGTAAATAAAAAGGGATAAATAATTGTCAGTATGTTATATACTGGGATAACAATAAGCGCAAGGGATGGCTGCTGGGACTTAATGTATTCTGCGTGTACATATTTAGTGTTAGCATATTACTACTGCAGTGCATTTATGGACTTGCCTGTCCTTTGGATGAAGATTGCACAATTTCGTAGGCTCAAGCATTTTAGTCTGCCCTGGTGAGACAAGCGATTTAACCTACTCTAGTTTGGCGGCATATCAACCTGTATGGGTTATTTAATGCCGAAATCTAAAGATTTTGAACGCATCTGTCTATATCTCTGATTACTTATATTATTTACATTATTCGGACTGTTATCCTCAGCTTCATTGCTATATTCACAACGTTTCGAGCGTTGTATGCTCCGGCATTCTCCAGACGATTGGAATTACGAACCGAACGATGTGCCTTATTTCCCTTTGGTTCACCACTGCTGTAGCCTGGTATTAAACTCACAACTTTTTGGATCTAGTCACTGGATCTAACCAACGCCATGTGTCCTTGACGACATCCGTGTATGAATTTCTGGGGCTTATAAACCTCATGTCTCAGCAACCAATTTTTACCGTGGCAAAAGGAAGATCACCATCCCCTGTGGGATGAGGTTGAAATGATAGACAGAGAAC